CCTTTTTAAGGATAAACAAAAAATAATTAATAAAATTAAAAATCTTTAAAAGAAATTTCACAATAAAAACAGCGCCAATGTGGCGTTTGTATGATGTGGGTGTGGCACTTTGTTGCCTGTTAATTGCGTGCGGCATAACGATTACAAATGCTGAGCTAACGCCGCCATATTTTAATTTGGCTACTGGCCGAAAAATATATGCATCCGCCACTTGCGGTACGGATACTGATGGACCGGAGTTGTATTGTAAATTAGTCGGAGCGAATACAGAAAATGATCACATCGATTATTCTGTCATTCAAGGACAAGTAAGGAAAAATTTATTAGTTTTGGAGATATTCATTTTTAAATAAATTTACAAGTAAAAAAAAATTATTTATTTTTATTATTTGTTAATTTTAATGAATTTTATGATTTATTTAAAAATTTTTATTTATGTTTAATTAAATAATTAATTTTATTTAATTTTATAATTGAATTATTATAAAGTATTAGTTATAAAAATTTAAATTATATTTTATTTCAAGTTTTATGTATTATTTATTAAATTTTTCTATTATGTATATGTTATCTCTTACCTTTCAGTCGTTTTTTTTTATTAACTATGAAAAATAAAATATAATAAAATATATGAAATATGTTTAAATGTAATTTCATTTCTTTTACCATAAAAAATAATTTTCATAAAAATTTTTATTTTATTTTAAAATTTTATTATTTAAAATTTTACTTCAAATAAGGCATATGAGCTCATTTTTATCTCATTCAAATATTTTAAGATATTTTTTCTGTTTGTGTAAATTTATCCAAATAATTTTTCTGTTTGCATATATATTTTATTATTTTTTTATTTATATTTTTTTTGTTGATTTTGTTAGTTTATTTTTTTTAACTATGAACAAAAATTGCTTCAAGTAGAGTTTGTTTGTGTAAGCAATTTAATGCATAGAAAATTTTTATACAATTAAAAATGACAGGAGCGTAGGTAGAAAAAATTCTATTACTGCAGTCTATTCTATTCTTATTACTGCAATTAAATGGAAATTACATCATTTGAGCTACAACAATTTTTAATTAATAAACAATTTTTATTAAACAATAAAAACTCAGTTTTAAATATATATTATTTCCAGATTCCTATAGTTCTATACAGAGACATATTTGCAATATATTATTAATATAATTTCGTATTTAGTAATCAAAATGCTCAGAAAAATTGTAAAATATCATTTAGATATACTTACTATATACATTACTATAATACTTTTTATGATAGTGTGTAGATATGTTCTAAAATTGGACACCATATATACACCATACTTTACTATTGTCCTTTCGCTCCTAGTGGGGGTAGGCCTCCACTAAAGATAAATATAAGCCATATATAATATATAATATAAATATATATATATATATATTTATAAACATAAGACATCTAATATATTGAATACCAAATTCAATGAATGTTAAATATAACGAACGATAAGATTCTGTCATTGACTACTCATTTGTTATACAGGAAAGTCAATAATGTCACTGAAAAGCAATCTCTCTTACTGTATTAACACACAATTTACCCTACAACTATGCTCCACAATGGGCAAATGAAAATAAAAAAGATTACACCAAACTCAAGATTCTATTGAAAACTAATCTCTCACTGAAATAACACATAATATACACCACAGCAATGACCAATAATGTGTGTACTAAGGAAAATAATAAACATTACTCAAAAAATATGTTTTTATAAAATTTACAAGAAGAATATATCAATATATATTTTTTAATACATAATTTTCAAAAAAAAAAAAAAAAATCTGAACCACTGAAAACTATATTTGTTTAATTAATTTATTTTTTCCTTTGAAAGAATTTTAGTATTTAATGAATGAGCTGTGCTAGAAATGTTTTCTAAAATTGGACACCTATTAAAAATACTAAAATAAATTGGTAATGCATATAAGTGGTATACACGATCGCGGGTAAAGAGCTCGGTAACCGATTAACATATTAACAGAGTGGCAATAAAAAAAATAGACATTTCGACTTAATGTATTAATATCTTTATTGCATTACTCGATTACCAATTGCGTAACTATAGATCATATAATATAAATCACATATATAAATATATTTGATATACTATTCTATATTTCATAATTGAAAAATTGAAATTCTAGGTTTACTTCTAGCAAATCTTAAAAACTCTTTCCACTAACTTAAAAAAATATACTTAATGATATAGCTTAATGATACGATCAAATTAAATCTAATTCTAGTTAATATTTTTTTCGAAAGAATCTTTATATTTTAATATATTTTTTGCACAATGAATTATTTTAAACGGAGTTCTTCACCGTTTCATTAGTCATTGGAGCTAATTCTCCTTCTTAAATACTATTATTGCGGTCTGAAAACAGAGAGAAGTTACTGACAGTTAGATTCATAGAATATCTTTCATGGGCAAGCAATAAAAAGTTCAATTAATAATCTAAAAGATATATATTTATAACAACGTCCTTTTAATATATCGAGATTTATATCGATGTATAATAAATTATAGGTTTTCGTTCCGGTAATTATTGTTTTATTAGAGCAAATTTCTTTCCCTAAGCATTACTTTTTTGGTCTGCAAACAGATAATAGTTACTGAGAGCTAGATCCATAGAATATGGTAATTCAAAGTGCAAATAGTAATTCATGGATTAGTGATGTAGTTAAGTTTTTTGGTGCAAGATCGCCTTTTATTTCTTCATTTAGTATTGTTGTATTCGCAATTTCTCAAGACTATCGATGAATAACTATCGAGACCGTGCGATCTCGAAATACCTAGGATAAATTTTCGATTAAAAAAAAATTTTTTTATAATATTACATCTAGATTCTATCTAGATTAATTGTTATCACTCATCAATTAAGCGTTAAACTGTTATAAGATTTTGACACATATCCTTGAAAGGTTACTAGTTTCTAGATTCATAGGTAGTGATATATGTTTAGATCATCCTACGAACTTATAATATGACGTAATATTTTTAAAAGTAGAACTCAATGCATCAAGAATAAATTAACTAAAAAAATTTATTTTTTGTGTTTTAATTTTTTAAAAAGAAATATTTTTTCAATTTAGGCTTCCATGTATGATTACAGGGAACAACCGCAATGTTGCGTCTTTAATGAAAAACCGCAAATTAAATATAAAAAAAAAATATTATTTATTTTTTTCAATTTAATCACATTGATTGGTTATAAATTCTTCGAATTCCCTTCTCTTTTCAAATTTTCTTTATTTATTAATCTACTACGCCCCTGAGAACGCACACATTTTAATTGATCAAACAACGAAAATTATAGCCTTTCGTATGTAGCATATGCAGCGCACATGGCTTAGATTTTTTTTTAAATCAAAAAACTGAACTTTGTATATTTTATTTTTGAAAAAATCATTTTTTTTATTTGCTTATACATATACAAAAATAGGTTATTTTAGCACATGATCCTATATCAAAATTATACTAAATTGGGATGAACTGTCAAATATTTGATTTGTTTAAAATGATTGTATTCGAAATCTTATCAAAGATTTAAGCAAAATTAATTTTTTTAAATAAACACAAATTCCGGTTTGGTTTTGATTTTTTAAATTGTAATTTTTATAATTTATTAGTCATATTATCTTTTTTTATTTATTTATTATTATTATACAAAAAATATTTATTTATTTTGTTTTATTATTTTTATAATTATTTTTAATCCAATTTTAAAAACGGTTTAAGAATTTTTTTTCATGGTTAAATAGTTAGTGCAGTTAAGTTTTTTTTATACAAACTTTATTTAATAATTGTTAGTTCACACTTTTTCCTAATAAATAAAATTATATTTTCCATCCCTTATATATCCCTCTTTTGCTTATGAGGAACTTTCATTTAAAGAACCAGATTTACAAAAAAAAATTTCTGTGAGTAATCTAGAATATTTAAGTCTTAAGGCACCAACATGACTACCCGAGGTATCTAATTTGAGAGATAATTATTATTACATCAAAAACATTTCATCATATGATATTTATTGACTACTCACTAATGATTTCTAATGATACTGCTAATGGCTTCAACGACAATAAATGGCAATTAATATACATATATTTATAAATATATATATCTTATATAACATTATATGTTATATCGATTTATATTTGACAAATATGTATAGGTATATATATAATTCACATTATCTGTACAACAAATATCTTAATACTTTAGACAATAACCTTCTTCTGCTATTTTAAAACACTTAAAATAATTTGTAATATAATTTTTAATATAATATATATAAAATATAGAAATAGTTATTTGAAAAAAAATTTATTTGATTAAAAAATATTAATAAATAAATTTTAATAAACTAAAATTTTAAAAATTTTTTCTTTAACATAATTTTAAATTATTTTACTCAATATTATTTCAAACACATGCGAACATTGTATAGAATTGCTTTCTGCTTATCTCAATCTAAGTTGACTAAGGGCTCACTTCCCACAAATGTTTTGAAAGATCAACATTTATATGACTTGGTCTTATTTCGAACAGATAAGAAATGATTTAAAGCATATAATTATCATATATTCTTTACCATAGTCATAGTTAAATTAAAAAGGGGATACGGAATACTTCTTAATACATTTAAAAAAAGAAATATACATATCTGAATATTTCTAATTTGTGAATTATTTCTTAATTTAGGAACAAATTTATTGTAAACTAATATATATCTTCAAATATAGGATTACTGAATAGAAATTCAATTAAAGGAGTAAACAAATGTTCTTTACGATTCTAAATTAGAATTAAAATACAATTTATTAAGCGTAGATTCTGTTTGTATATTATCCCCTGATACCTATAGTTTTAATATTACATATAGACAAAATAAATTTTCTTGGAGTAAATGTCTTTGTCCTAAGCATCACTTGTTCGGTCTGCAAGCAGATAGTAGTTACTAAGAGCTAGCTCCATAGAATATGTTAAATGGGTAAGCAATTCAAAGTGTAAATAGTAATTGATCGACCAGTTATGTAGTGAATTTTCTAGGAGAAGAAAGATCTGTCCGAAAATTATATACATACAATTAAACAAATAGATGTTTTCAAAAACCGCTAAAGATTTTATCTAATGATTGATTGTATTTAATTGATTGATTAAATATAAAAAATTATTTAGGACTTAAAAATTCTCACATTATTATACCCTTTTCTTTTCGAAATGGATTAGTTGTAAGACAAAAATAATTTATTATTTGAAATGTAG